CAGGCGCAGCCACGTCCAGGCCGTCATCTGGAGCTTCGCCCCCGAGGTCGACCGGATGAGGACTTTGGGCCAGTTCCGCATCAACGTGTCCAAGCACGACCGGGACTTTATCTCCTGGCAGTGGAAGGACATCACCCGGGTGGTCAACCAGGCCAAGGCGCACCAGCAGCTCCTCATCGGCATCGAGGTGGCCTCGGGGGGACCCCGGCCCTGGAAGGAACTCCTGGCTGACCGCTCCCCTTACATCCTGGTGTACGCCAACGACTCTGCGATCTCGGAGCCCGAGAGCGTGGTGGCGACCCTCAGGAGGAACCCCTCGGCAGGGGACCCGAAGGCGGGGCAACGTGAGCGCAACGCGACGGAACCGCAGCGGAGCTCTTCCAGATCCAAGCGCTCTGTCAACGTCCCGCTCCCCCTGCAGAACAACGAGCTGCCCGGACCCGAGTACCCCTACGAGACCACCGGTTGGGACGAGTCCAGTCCCTACGAGCCCTTCCGGAGCAAGCAGGCCCGCCGGCCACTTCGGAAAAAGAGCCGCAAGAACCCGAGGCACAAGATGCCTCTGCTGCAGTTTGATGAGCATACCATCAAGAAGGCCCGGAAGAAGCAGTGGAACGAGCCCCGCAACTGCGCACGGCGCTACCTCAAAGTGGACTTTGCCGACATCGGCTGGAGCGAGTGGATTATTTCGCCAAAGTCTTTTGACGCCTACTACTGTGCCGGATCCTGCCAGTTCCCCATGCCAAAGGTGAGATTTTCTGCCGGTCTCCTTCATTGGGATCTGTCTTGTTTGAGCCCGCCTTTTAGAGTCGAGATCTTTTATTCATGTGACGGCAAAGCGAGTGGACAACTGCACATGACACCGAAACATTTTTTCACTTCTTGGATGATAATTGGTGGGTAGGTAGGTCTGTCAAAATTGCTCGTTTGGAAGGCCGGTTGCTCTGACTTATCACGTGTGATGCTGTGGGTCCTGCTAGTTCCCCATGTCCCTGTTGGTACCTCTTTTAGGGATCTGTCTGACTTTACATTGCCGGTCTACAATTCCGCGACTAGATTGGATATACTGTACTTCACAGTCTACCAAACGACATGTCTGAACTTGACGGAAGTGGACTCTGGCAAACAAATGACAGTAGTCCGATGCTGAGCAACTTGCTGCAACGGAAAAACCGCAACCTTGTCGCGAAGTGTGGCAGGCACAAGTCGTAATACGCAAAGGAAACAACCGCGTCACTCCAGAAACGTGCGTGACAAAAACAACAGAATTGTTTGTCGTTGCCCAAATAGGTAGATCGCTTTCTGTTTGGGGCGTTAGGTCGTTAAGTCGGTTGGTGGGTGGGGAAGTCTAAAGGTCATGCCGACTCTTTTATTAAATGTCAGTTGCGTCCCACCTTAACCTTGCATCGCAATGCTAAGTGATGACATGCTAGCGTGACTGACGTGACATCATGATGGGTGGGTGGATTTTCGAGGGAGCTCGGTGGGTAGCCTGGTAAATAGGTAGCTCGAACTGCCGTGCGTCGATAGGTGGGTAAGTAGGTAGCTTGTTAGGTAGTTTGGTAGTTTGAACAGCGAGGCAGTTGGAAGGCAGGTCAATGTCGCGCCAACTCACCTTCAGGAGACTTGTGACACTTTTACCTGGTGTCACAATGCTAGGTAGCTACATGTTAGCATCACCAATGTCACACATTTCACTTGAAATGTTCAGATTTTGTACAAGAAAATGATACATTTGTGCTGCTATATTGGGCAACAGTAGCATGTAGCATCATGCTAACAACCGCGTTTCTGCTTTGGCCCACATCATGGAAACAGCAAAGATGCTATCAGCGGAATCGAGCGCTCCTCGAAGGCATCGTGTCATGTTTCTCGTTAAGAGATGTCAAAAAACACAAACGGGCTTCCGATCTGATAAGACGGCAAACATTTGAAACGCGGCCGGAATGCGCTCGGCTTAATTCCCTCCCTCTTGGAGTTCCTGGCCTTTGTCGTGCGCGCTAATTCTTCCCAGGAGTGCCCTGAGGCGTCGCGCTCCTCCCTCGCCTGCGAGGGTCGCTGTATCAAAAAGTGGACACGCCCCCTGAAAAGCGCACTGATCGGCGGGAAAAAGACGCAAAGATCCATTCGCAGCATTCCGCAACGTTGAGTGGAAACGTGGGCGCGCTGACGAGCTGAAACACGGCCAAGAAAGGCAAAATGTTTCAATGGAGCGAAACAACCCGACCGTTTTTTCAGCGAATGATTATGATTCAGTTTTTGCCTCAATTTAGTCCAGACTGAACCAGACTTTTGAAGCTGTTGGCGCACCCCTTTTCCCGTGCACGCACCTTAAACTTGAGTCGTTGCGCACCATCCTCGACATCCTGATGCACCCCCTCTCTGCTGCTGACAGTTTTCAAAAATCGATAGTTTCTCTTTCAAGGTGCGCGCTGTCGTCACACAAATTTCGCATATCGATAACCCGCACGCACACACCCCCTTACTTCTCCCCGCAGACCCTGAAACTGACATGTATAATAGTTCATCGCACCTTTCCCAAACACTTGAATCCATGCATCCCTTTCAACAGGCCCACAAAGTTGGCGCGCCATTCGCTTCTGCACACACCGTATTGACCCCATACACACCCTCAAGAAAGTTTTGTTTCCAACTTTAGTAGCATTTCGCAAACATTTGGAGCTGGCGCACCCTGTAAAAAAAAGGGCATTCGTACCACCACAGCATGGGAGTCGCTCTTTTCATCATTTTCCGAGGTTTTATCATGAAAACAATGAGGAGTCGAGTGGGTGATCGAGCTTTTAAAACGGGTACAAAATGTCGTGTCACTAAAGTTTTTCTTGGGGGGGGTGCGTTTTACTTTCAGGCCCTGAAGCCTTCCAACCACGCCACGATCCAGAGCATCGTGCGGGCGGTGGGCGTGGTGCCCGGCATCCCGGAGCCGTGCTGCGTCCCAGAGAAGATGTCCTCCCTCAGCATCCTCTTCTTCGACGAGGACAAAAACGTGGTGCTCAAAGTCTACCCCAACATGACGGTGGATTCGTGCGCGTGCCGATAGTTCCCTTGGCGCACCGCCCCTTCTTTCCTCCGTCACCACGGAAGCAAATCCCGGAAAGATTCTTTCCTCTCCCATTTCTTTTTGAAATGCCTCACGTCAACAAAGGACCCGACTGACTGGGCACTGCAAGGTGGTGCGTCATGTGGTTCCGGGTGATCGGGGGTGTGGCGGCAGGAAGCGACGGCGTCTCAAGGAAGGCGGCCGCAGAATGGAGGAACACTGAAGGATGAATCCTCTTCCCAAACTTTTAAAAACCACAAGCCCCTTTTGATTATGCAACGGCGATCCAAATGGTGGATTCCTTTTCTTTTTTTTTTTTTAATACTCATCCATGCACCACCATAATTGAACGCACCACCACCCCCCTTAAAAAAACAACCAAAAAAAAAAAGTTTTACCCACTGAAACAAACTTAACCAGGCAGGTTATCAGCTTTTTTCGTAACCTGCTAAAGCATCGCACCCTCGCCAACATCATCAGCCCCCCCCCCCCCCGCCTGATTTTTTTCACAAAATAAGACATCCTCGGGTTGTTTTGAAAGCTCCACACCAAAACAGCTATTTATGCAGACCAAACATTTCCCGTGCGCGCTCTCTCGTACATGTTGGTGTACATACTGCAGCTTTTGTTGACAAGTGCCTTTTGTTTCCTCATCCGATTGTGATGAAAAGCTTTTATTGTGGAATGTGTTCAAAATATATATTTCAAATAATTTTAATCCTTCAGAGACCTTTATTTTGTGTTTTTTGTTTTGGGGAGTGGGGGAGGGGGGGATAACTTTTATATATTTTGTATGTTTTGTTAGCGATGCATGCCGAAGACTCACTGTGGCCTTTTCTTTTTGTGTCAATGTTAAGAAAACGCTTGTACGATAAGCTTGCTGGAGTATATTTGTACATGGAAACGTCTCGAAGCTATTTATTGTTGTCGATCTGGTGGAGGGGGTGTGGCCCTGGGATGAGGGAGGCGGGGTCTTTCCACATGACGGACATTCGACCTTTGGCCTCTCAGCCCGGGCAACGCCGAAAACTCGCATAAGTATTCGAAGTCATGAATAAAAGGATGCCAAAGTCAAATGTTCACTTTCAAATCGTTTGTTGTGTGCGCGCGAACGGAGAAAATCGATCTGGAAAGAAAATCTCGCAGCATTTCCACATCAATGATCCGATTTATTTTCTCCAGGAAACAAAAAGCCACATTTTGATGTATTTTATCAATGGGGGAGAAAAAAACAGTTCATTTCGTCATTTTGCTATTGTGCATCTTGTTTCTCAATTTTTTTTTTTTTTTTGAATGAACAAGTCATATTGACAAAACAATCCACTCCGATGGTCAGGGAATCAGAAGAGGCGAAATGACGCATACGCTGTACTTCCACAAAGGCGACAGATGCAAAAGATTTTTCTTCTTCTTCTGCTTTCGGCGGCGTCACGGGATGACGAGCGTCGAGGAGCTTAGAAGTCGGCGTCCCATCCTGAGAGCTCGTCGGGAGGAATTTTGTCATCGGGAGGATACACGTCAAAGTGGCTGTGGTCCAGAGGACCCGACACCTGAAAGACGCCACCACAAGCCAACGGCCGCTAACTTCAGGTGCGTTGTTACCGCTGCAATCACTTACTTTGTGACATAATAGCCCTGTTCACACGGCAAGATTTACTCCGACCCTTTGTGACATAATGAGTGCCGTGTTGGGTGCAACCAATCCACGTAACACAGCTGCGACCATTTCAAGTGATTCTGATGAACCTCAAATAAAGTTCAGATGCTCTAGTCGTCGTCTCTTTTTTTTTTTGACTCCAGTACGGGCTGTGACTTAGAAAAAAGTGTCGATGATGTTTGACGGCCAACTTACGTGTCTCTTGAGGGGCGATGGCAGGGTCTGAGCGTTTAGCCCCGCCCAGTCGAAACCATTAAACCACCTGCACACAAGCTTACTTTCATCGGGAGGTACTAAGATTGTTTCCAAAAAAAAATCTCATTTTCTATGACAAAAAAATACCGCTTTAATCTTGTAATATTACAATCTTCTCAAAAAAAAAAATCTATCCATATACTCTTGCTTTAATCTCATATTACATTTCTTGTCATAATTTAAACACGTATTACCGTTTCTTTAGAAAGTCCTGTAAATGACAACTTCCTTCCACAAAGTTCTAAAAATGTGATTTTTCTAAAAAAAATAAGAAAAATTCTTGTAATGCTATTTTTTTCGTCAAAAAAATCTAAAAATGATACTTTTGTAAAAACAAACAAAAAAAAAAAAGTCAAAGGAAACGGAAAAAAAAATAACCTTGCAATACAACGACGTTCCCCTCTGAAAAACGTATCAAGATATGTTGTACTAAATGTTTCAGACAACTTTCTTCCAAAAAGTTTTTAAAATTTGATTTTTCTAAAAAATAATAATAATTCTTGTCATATTATTTTTTTTTCATCAAAAAATCTAAAGATGATACTTTTGTAAAAACAAAAAAAAAAGAAAAAAAGGGAAAAGGAAACGGAAAAAAAATAACCTTGCAATACAACAACGTTCCCCTCTGTAAAACGTATCAAGATATGTTGTACTAAATGTTTCAAATATTACAATTTTTAAGAAGTGTTTCAAAAGTTTTAGTGTAAAAAACAATCCACGTGACCTGTGCTTGTTGATGTCGCCGCTGCCGTCGTTCATGTTTGCCAGCCGCTCAGCACGCGTCCCACTATGGAGGGAAGTTTTGACAGGCGCACCTGCCAGTCAGAAGCTCAAACACCAGGATGCCCAGGCACCAAAAATCCACACTGAGATTGTGTCCCTTGTTGAGGATAATCTCCGGGGCCACGTACTCGGGGGTCCCGCAGAAGGTCCAGGTCTTCTGACCCCCGTGCATCTTCTTGGCAAAGCCAAAGTCCACCTACAAAGACGTGCTCAGCGTTACGCTCTGCTTTCTCCTCGAGGCTCTATTTTGCCTAAACCCGAATCGCTAATCCTCCACCTAACTCCTAACCCTGATCCTAACCATAAACCTAAACCCTAACCCTCGCCCCTAACCCCCACCCTGGCCCCTAAACATAACCCCAAACCCTAACTGCGAACGCTCACCCCTAACTCTAACCCCAACCCCACCCTAACCCTAACCCCCTTAACACTGATCCTACGCCTAACACTCCAGCCCCAAACCCAAACCAAGTCCACCTACAAAGACGTGCTCAGCGTTACGCTCCGCTTTCTCCACGAGGCTCTATTTTGCCTAAACCCGAATCCCTAATCCTAGCTCCTCCACCTAACTCCTAACTCTGATCCTAACCATAAACCTAAACCCTAACCCAAAATGTGTCTCCGAGCTGTTGAGGAGAGGCGGCGCCCAACCCCCTAACCTAACCCAAACACTAAGCCCTAACACCTGCCCAAGCCTGTTAACCGTTCCTGTAAACCGTTTGCTCTTCGTCTCCTCCCTTAATCATTCTTGGTCACCCATTCAGATAGCCCTCAGTCTCCTTTTGGATAAAACCTGTTTCCTTAAAAGCGCTGATGGTCGATCATTGGTCAAGCAATGGCAACACATGCTAAATGTTCGTGTGTCATGCGGCTGTGCCTTGGCTCAAGACACGACTCCGCGGTCTCCATTTCGCGGCCCTTTGCAAAATGTGTCTCCGAGCTGTTGAGGAGAGGCGGCGAGCAATGGTGCCGAACCCAAATAAGAGCCGACTCTGTTGCTGTGCCTTTATAGCTGCACACTACTCCGCAGTCTCCACTTGGCTGCACTTTGCCCTCAGGCTTCTCTCGGGACAACAATGTCTCTCCTTAACTACTCTTGACATCAATGTTTTGTGATGCTGTGGCTGTGCCTGATCTGAAGACACCATTCCACCGTCTCATCTTTGCCCGCAGTCTCCCATTGGCTAAAATGTGCACGGTCCACTCACCAGTTTGACGTAACCTTCAGAGTCCAGCATGAGGTTCTCCGGCTTGAGGTCCCGGTAGAGGATCGCCTTGCGGTGCAGGTACTTGAAGGCCTCGGTCACGCAGCCCACGCAGAACTTGGCGGTGGTCTCGTCAAAGCTCCCCCTGAAGAAGGCGGCGGGAGAGGCCAAGTCGCTGAAAGCACAAACAAGGACCATCTCTGGGGTCTACCTGTCTCTGAGAAGACTCCAGACTTCTCCTCCAAGACACGCCTCCAGCAGCATGTAGACGTATTTGTCGTCTCGGAATGTTCGGAACATTCTGGAGAGGAGGAATCGCGCGGTCAGTCTGTTGGCTCACAAAATGACGTTTGAAGTTAGCGATGACACCAAAGGCGGTGGCATCTTCAGTTGACATAGTCTGTCTCGGTTTTTTTTTTCCAGTGGTACCTTGAGATACTTTTTTTTTTTTTTTTTTTTTTTTTTTCAC